TGTTTTTAATATACCTTTATTACAGAATTAAGTGACTAATATTTTGTATATTTTGTAATGGGATATTTAGATAGTGGATTCGGTAATCTTCAGATAGTTGGAATTGATCCATTACCCAGCAAAATAATAACAAATGTTAATAGCACCGTCGATTCAAAAACAACAACTTTAACCATTACCTTTGCAAGTCCTGTTATGTTGTCAATCGGTAATATCACCATTTACAAAGATTCCGACAATACAATTAGACAAAGAATTCCTGCAACAATGAGTGACCACGTTAAAATTATTAATGATACTCATACGATTGTCGAAATAACGATCATTGGCAGTACATTTAATGAATTCAATGAAATTTATTACGTGCAGATGGATGCTAATTTTGTAAGAGATGCAAAGCTCTACGAACCATTAAAAGGAATTGATGAAAGGACTTTATATTACAAATCAAGTAATATTTTTCGTTTATCTATATTTTATTTTATTTTATTTTTATATAATTCAATTAATCTTCTTATATAATTTAGAAAATAGACCACGTCCATCGGGTAATTAATTAATATAGAATTTTCCTCTCAGCTTTAGATTTTCAATCACTAAATTTTTATTCTTCTTTATAGAGGAAGCTGGCATCTTTTCAGTTCGTCTCAATACAGAAGCAACAAAAAAATATAAATCGTTCCCTGATTTTAATAAAACAGATTACCTTACTGCTCTATTACAAGATATTGCTAAAAAGGTACCAATCCGACCTGAACTTTTATCTACATTTGGAACTCCTCAGTATTTTTCTATGAATTCCATAGAAAATGTTCAATTTTATGTCCGCGTAAATAAAACAAATCAAAAACAAGATAAAAATAATACAGTTCCAGGGATTCAATCAGATATAGATAATCTGATAAGAAATAAGAAGATAACCACTTTCTCTGAAGGTTTTACAAACGATTTAGATGAAAATCATGGCTTTCAAGAGAAAGGTGATTTATTTGGCGATTATAAAAATCAAATTATTCCCTTTTTATCTATTGCTGCAGCGAACACTGTACTTTACATTTCATCTCGATCCAATCAGGTAAAAATTTGCTTTTAATTTCTTTCGAATGACTTTTATTGATAATGTAAATAATAAATCTTTTACTGTGAATATTTTTAATAGCCTATGGATGACAGTTTCAAACAAATTATCAATACAGCCACGGCTGGATTATTCTCTGCTTCGCATACAACTTTTTCAAGCATATTTTCTTTTGAAGATGTTAACAATTACCCAGCATTCAGTATTTCGAGGTGTTTTATCAATTGCTATATTGAAAATTAAATCAATTTTTCTACTTTTAGTTAACCTTTTTTTATTTTAAAACAGTAAATTCTTCTGGCTTACTCCATTATTAATAAATATCGCTGTTTTTACCTATATTACGTGCAAAGGAGGATTCAATAAAATTAACACTATGAATTTGATAACAATTGGGTTAACAGTATATAATAGCGAAACTTTAATACTTATAAACAGATCCCGACTTGATGAATTGTTTGGCAATGATTATAAAGCCACAATGAAATATAGAGCTTTTGCTGATGTTTTATTTAAGAGCATTCCACAGCTAATTACTCAGGTAAAGATTGTATTGTTGATAGTTTATCTGTTTACTCGTCACTCATACTAATTAATTTTTTATTTGGAATAGGTTTTATATTTCCGTTACATTGTAACCTACAGTATTATTCCATTCTTTACATTATGTGCAACTTCCTTTATGATTTTTCTTACGACTGTTCAATCCATAGTTGATTTGATAATTAAGGGCAAATATGAGAAAAAGGAGGATAGTAATGAACAAAAGGAGGAAATAGATGATAGTCAAGAGAAAAAAGGAAAAGGGAATATCGAAAACGGAGAGTAATGAAGTAGACAGTTGTAGGAAAGTGAAAGTGTGTATTCGAATCAAACATGTAATTTGTACTAGAATGAATTGAAAATGTGATGCACATATACTGTATGTGGTCACGTTTTTTGTATATAATATGTGCCGCAATATTAGGGTGCGGCTATCAGATTTTCGATGATTTATATAGTATAATTAAAAAAATAAATATCAAACTAAATTTATAATTTTTATCACAAGTATCTAACAGAAGTGTTTAAATTTTTTTTTTTAACTTGTAGCTCTCAACTAGCTCTACACGGTAATAGAGCTACTTTTTCAATAGTTTATTAAAATCATTCAATTATTATAAAAATATTAAATATTAATTGTGGGGGATGCTGGGAATCATGTGATCACATGATGATTTTCTGCATAAACAAATTAAAGTGCGTCAATGTTAGGGTTTAGGTATGTTTGTCCCAGACAGTGATAGGTATACATTATTGGGCAAAAATTTTTGAATAACGGTAATTTTGTTCAACCGGCAAATGAACACGTGCCGCTTTGCGGCACGTGTCAGCCAATCATTTGCCCGGTTGAGCCAAATTACCGTTATTCAAAAATTTGCCGAATAATGGTGTTATCCGACAATTTATGATCATGATTGGTAGGGAGTCGTCGGCTGAGTTTTAATTCGAGTAAATGTGAATATTTCGAAACACATGAAAAAAATAACAGACAGAAATACATTCATGATCATAAGAGTTTGTCGGATAAATACATATATACAGTGATAACGTTCAAAAATCCAGTATCATCATAATGCAAAGTTATTTTGGCCCTTAATTGTAAAATTTTTCGAAATTTGGGCCCTTATATGTAGTTATTTTCACTTCGGGTAATTATTTTCGTTTTTCGGGCCTTTATATTTTCCCTTTGTTTTATATGATGTAATCTTTCACTGCATCAAACAAATTGTTCGAAATGATCTCACAAAGAAAGTCCAAAGGAAAAGGTGTTTGTCTAATTACCTGATTCTGTTCGTTATTCTTATTTACAATGCTATCTATCTTGCGGCTTTATTTTATTTTTTTTATCTTGAAAACTTATAAAAAACATGAAACCTGTTCTTTATATTATTATGCTAATTTCTCTAAAACAAAAGGGATTTTGATTATTTTTAATAGTGAAGTCCTACAACCCTAATAAACTTTCGATATACTTTTTTTGTATTTATTCTTTGTAGTTGTATTTTTTTTTTTTAAAAAAGCTTTAAACTGTATAAACAATATAAAATTGAATTTATTTAAACAACCAATCATACGAAAGTCTTTCTATTTACTTAACATTCATAATTACAAATTTGATAACCATTCATAATTACAAATTCGATTTTTTTAAGCTCCACTCATTTCCGTAATCGTTAACTTTGATCTTTCCGTATTTCATTTTAAAATGCACTATTCTGAAACCTTAAATAGAAGTATTTAAGCTCTTAACTTTTTATTTAATTCTTACCATAAAGGTCATTTGTATTACCATATTTCTCATTTAATTTCTATGACTATCATTTATCAATCAAATAATTTAGATACATTCACGTTTATTTAGTCTGAGTATTACAATCTTAAAATAATATCGTGATTTTTGCTGATTTATTCAAATTTAATCCGGGTCACCCGGATAGCAACACCCCAATCCACACCACCTTGATTTGTTGATCAGGGGTAACATTGCAATGCATCGCGATGGCAAATGATAACACCACCCTTACATTTATATAGTTTTAAAGTTTCACGTTTAATACCAACATAAAAGTCAATAAATAAACAAGATAGTTTACACAATATTCTGTATTACTATTAGCTAATTTTATATTACACATGTGGGATAAAAATTCAGCAGTGACTTAACATTTTTAATAATTTTTGCACTATGGTATGCAGTATATGAAATTATAAAATAAATAATTCTATAACTATGTTTTAAGTTAGATAAATATACAGTATTACTGTTATAAACATTAGTTTTGCTTAATGATCACTTGCGTTACTTGGTATTAAATTTCTATCAAATGGATAGCATATAGCTGGTGTTGTGTCAGGTTGTTCAGGGAAGTAAAAGAAGGCAATTGCAATAAGGAAATAGGAAGCCTAATAACGATAAAAAAAAATAATAATAAAAAATTGAATAAATTAAATTAGAGCGAATTGAAATAAATTGAAATAAATCAATTGAAGTAAACTTACGATAAGCATAAACCCTTCTAACCACGTAGCCATGTTATCCTATTGAGTCAATTATATAATATTAATATTGAAAAATATAAACAAATATACATATTCATCATATAAGATATACATTTAACGTACCGCCACCAAAAAATTAACAATCAACACGGCACCAGCCAACACACTAATTTCCAAAATATTGAAATCCAACGTTAATGGTTTACCAACAATCCACCCAATTATGACAAGCAGAGGAGTCACTAACAAAGCCATTTGCTACATTAAAAGAAGATTCAATAGCGATTAATAAATAGTAATTAATGTAAAGAATTTATAAAAAAAAGTAAATGATAATTACCACACTAGTATTAAGAATCAAGCTAACTGCTATATCTATTTTATCATCATAAGCTTCTTTGATAGCTTGATAGTGTTCAATAAAGTTACACACGACTAAAAAATTCAAAAAAAAGTGATATATATATATATATATATATATAGAATTATGTAATTCGGGTATGTTAGAAACAAAATATTAATAATATATATATATATAGAATTATGTAATTCGGGTATGTTAGAAACAAAATATTAATATAATTACCACAAAGGGGAAAAAGTACTATTCCGACGAAACCACTTCCAATGTGATAATGTGCAGCCAGTTCTTCGATACCCTCAACAAGGAACTTTGCGAAAAAGGTAATACCAACTATGGTACCCGCAAGCCTATAAAATAAATTTAGTGTGAGTTTATGATATGAACTGTTTTATATAACAAGTTGGTCAAAAGGAATAAAACTTACAGGAAGACATCAAAGTACCAAGGGTATAAAACCTCTTTGCTTTTAAATTCGGTTGCATTAAGTGTCTATAGCATATGAAGAAAAAGAATTTGTCACGAATCAAAGAGAATAAGGTGAAATGACATAAATATCATGGAATAACATAAAACTTTTAAAAGTAATAAAAAATAAATTCTAACATCTTGAACGTGGGTCTTCAACTGAAATACCAACGATCCAATAAATATAGTCATAAGAATGATCGCAGTTGCATGACTGATGATTTGTAAATCACAATCAATATTCTTAGGAATGTTGCCAACTTGTGGAGCAGCAGCCATTCTGAATGCAGCAGGTGTAACCAATGCAAGAACGGTAAGTGCCAATATTGAAGAACTCGTATTCACAAACAACTTTGCTTTGAATTGAGAGTCCTTCAAATGAAGGGAGGATTCACTTGCATGCTGTCGAGTTTTACGTCTATGTGTAGGCCACGAACCCGCCAAAAATGCCAAACCAAGAACCTAAAGCTTAAATATTAGATCAATTCAAAAAGTAAATATATAGAATTTCGTATACGAACCAAGGTGATGTTACATAGAATAGAGCCCAATATAGCTGAACGAACGATATTATATCTTCCGTCCATCAATGCCACAGTTTCAATAACAAGTTCAACAAAATTTCCGGAAAAAGCGTGCAGAACAGCAGCGTAGGGCTATAAACGGATGGTAAAATTAGATAAAGAAAATTACTCATTCGAAAAATTAATAATAATATGAAATAAATTACTCATTCGAAAAATTAATAATAATAATATGAAATCATTTAAAAATTGCATACCGTTTTACCTCTGGCGGTTAAATCTTCAATGGCTATTGTCATTATGTTAGATAACGGTATGATCGCAAAAAAGCAAAGATAGAACTGACGAAATATCGCGGCAGGGATGACAACCAATAACAAAAGGTGCACTGGATTCATTTTTATTATGCCAAAGGTATTTATGATCCAAGTGATCGGATGTGAAAGAAATCTAATCGTATTTTTTTCACTCTCAGAGACGACAGGATTGTCTCCAAGCATATTCTTTTCAACAGCATCAGGTGTAACAAATTCAAGACCAGGGTGCTCAGTACTCTCGCTTAACAATCCAGATGAATTTGGTGCAGAAGTAATATTTATCTGCGCATTATGATCATCTTGTTTATCTTCGGTCGACATTGAAATAGAAGCTTAAAACTATTAATATTATTAAATATATAATATGATGTACATGAAGTTTAAATTAAATTATTCAAGAGATTAATCAAATCCTCATAAAATTATCGTTATCAAGAAAAAAAAGAGGATTATTGCCAACTTACAAGATCTGGGAGTATTTATGGATATTGATATTCATTGACGGGCAGGGTGTAACTGGAATAGTATCCTGCATTGTACCAAAAAATTATCATTGTGTGGTACAGACTTACTTGCTGATTGCATCCAACCATTTCACCGAGAAACGTGACTATTCAATTTTTGGACAATAAGCCATTTTGAATGAGTTGGAATTCATTAAATAATGAAATCACGAAGGGGTCGAAAGATCACCTGTTAGATTAGAAGTCAGAAATATCAATATCAGATATACCCGTATGTACGTACGTACGCATGTATGTAGATCTTCGATCGTTCATCTTAAGCCCCATTAGCAATAAAACCCGATAGTACCAGATACAGTACGTGGTACGATGTATTTAAATATTATGTCCAAAAAAGGATAATATTTGGGAATGTATATGTATGATTGTTCCATTTCAAGGTTCTAGAAAAAATGAATCTAAACCAATAATGTTTTTTTAACCACCCCTTAAATCAATTTCCAAAAGAATCAATCAATTATAACCATTTTTCTTAATTTAGAATTTTAAATTGATAAGCAAAAAAGTGAACAATAAGGTATTTTTCAATCACCTAACATTTGTTTTTATTTTTGAATAGTACGTATGTACGTAGGATTAACACATATATTTGAGGAACTTCATTTAAGGGAGAAATTTTAAAAAAACTATTTCTTGTACTGTATGTAGAATGACTATTTCCGAAAATAGTTGGCACGGTGGTCAATGATCTAACCTGATTTGCGTCATTAAATCATTAATGGCTGTTATTTTGTGTAACTACTCCTGTCTGTTTTAGTTCAAACGCGATCTTGATGTTGTCCATATCTTGTAGTTTGGGGCTACACGAAAAATAAAATGTTTTATACGTAAATAAATGCGCATATATATATTCTGTATTTATATAAACAATTACATGAATTTTAATTAAAGAAATTAAAATGAATTTAGACAATTACACAATTACATGAATCTACGTTATAACGATAACCAATTTCAATTTGTATATAAATATATAAATATATATCATATTTAGGTACGCATATAAGGTAAGTATGGGTATTATGGAGAAGTCAAGAAAAAAAATTCGTGTAACTCGTGATCTATTAGTCCAAATTAAACGATTCTATATTGTTCGATTTGTCTCACCGAGATGAATCAAATAGTACTCATTCTGATCACAGGGTCACAAGTTATCTGTGTTCGAATCCTAGGGGTATTTGACGAATTTATGAATATTCTAAAAGTAACCTGTTATCCAATCCAAGTTAGGCAATTTTTATATCATACGATTCATCTTGATAAGACGATTCGAATGGTATAAAAATTCCAAATTACTAGGTCACTAAGTTAATATTTGACATTCAAACACTAATATCTCATGACCCAATAATTCAAATTGGATGATTTTTGCACCATTCGATTCGTCTCATTGAGACGAATCGAGTGATATAAAAAGTATCCAATTCAATCGTTAGATCATTACTTCTTTATTCCTTCATTACGGAAATCTTACATCTTTGCAATAGCTATAAAATATTCTAGATCTAGTGTAAATTATTAATAGTATAGGTAGTTAAGAGGAAACTTTCACAGTAAATCGCAAATTTAGTACTACCAACGAGGTATTAACGGCAAAATACGAAAATTAGTAGTTTTTTCAGCAAAATCTCGTTAATCCCTCGTTAATAGTGCTAGTCAGAAACTAAATTTGCGATTACATGAAAATTTCCTCTTAGTGATCTATATTATTAATAATTTACACTAGTTCTAGAATATTTTTATCGCTATCGCAATTTCCGTAATGTTATATTTTACGTTTTTATTCTAAGTTTGATACATTGCTAAATAATTACTAAGTCAATTATATGTAGTAGCAAAGTTAGGAAAAACTATAAGTGCACACCCTTTCTAAATGCACTCTTACTTTTGGTCCCAGGGCGTGCACTTAGAGAGGTTTAACTACAGTAAAAACCTCTATAAGTGCATGCTCTTGGGACCAAACTTTAACAACGTGCACTTAAAAAACAATAAAGAAAAGTGCATTTATGAAGGCCATCTATATAGTTGAGGCCGAATTGAGTGTGCATTTAGAGAGGATATGCACTTATAGAGATTTTACTATATAATACAACTGTAATGGTAAGGATAACGACTATAACTATAATTTTTGCCAATTAGCTTAAAATCTGGATTATCCAGACCAATCACAAAAATCAAAAAATCTATATTAGTTTTCAAGTAGTCCATGTGGAACCATACAAGAAGTTTTAGAATATAAAAAGGTATTTGATATGAAAATAAAGTTGTTCAATAGAAACTTTAAAGAACTTACAATTAAATTTTGATGATAAATTCTTTTATAATGATAATTTTAAGTTTTGTGTGCATTCATTTAGCATATCTAGAAATAGTTGTGTGCTTATGAGAAATATTTAAATTTTATGATAAAATGTTTTCTCTTTATTATAGAATAATTATATTCGATATCCAACAAAAAACCTTGATTAAAAAAAATGCATTCATTTATATTGAGGTTAAATGTAAAAAGTTCATAGAGTAAAATTGCACAAGAAAAACTTTTTATAAAATCCTGCTGGAAGCAAAAACTCACAGCACTGTTAAAATGTTAACAGTCTGATCTGGTCTATTTTAGTCCGGTTTTTAATGATTTATATTTTAATATTTAAGTAATTTAAACATATCTAGGCTGGTCTGGAACAGACCGATTTTTCAGTTTCAGACCGGTCTTAAGACTAGTGTGGTCTATCAATTTATCCCAAACCATCTAATATCCCTAAACACTGTTAATGATAAGATAGCATTTTCATTAAAGAGCCGTTATCCAGTACAAACTGAAAAAGAAAGTTTAAATAAAAATAAACCAAGCGCATAAAGTTAGAAATTTGGTTAGGACGATAACTTTAGAGGGTATAAAAGTAAATACACTCGTAATATGTAAAATTTCTCATAAATTTCGAGAATTTTTTGTATTTTTCTTCTTTCGCACGTATTTGGATTTTACGTTATTGATTGATGAAAACAAGTAGATACATATTTACAACCCGTATACTAACTTGGTTAATTGCATGAAATTTATGATTAGTTACAGATAAGATCTTATAGCCTTACTCTTAAGCATTTCCTTTGTAATTACGGTAAATATGGTTTAGCTGTAATAACTATGAATAATTAAATAAGTCATTATTATTACGAAGTATATATAAAAAATGGTTTAGGATCAATAGTAATGACCTTAACATAGAAATACAAACTAGGCACATCAGCTCCATATTTACAGATTCACCACATTTTTCCGACAGTCATTTAACCGACATCACGCGGGTGACAATTTACTATTAATATAATATCTGCAACTAATAGAACGCTAACCTTATGTGATGTCGGTAAAATAAGTGCCGATGAAATGAGATCCACTCTAGATTTACTGCAATATCATAATTTTTCAGGGTTAAACTCGCCACTCTGAAAACTTAATTATTCAGTTCCGGATTTTCGCTTTGCAACACTCAAACTATAACTTAAATAATACTATAACTTAAATAATGGCTTAAACCATAGTAGAATGAATTCTGCCGAGTTGATCAGGAACAATCAAAATTTAACTCACTGATCGACTGTTTCCTTTTGAGTTTTTTTCTTTGTCAACGCGATCAATTAACGAAATGAACGAATATTAAAAAATTTGCCTCTAGCTTGTATTATTGGCACAAATAAGTAAAGTCCGTATGATCCATAACAGAACTCATATTACTTTCTATTATTAGAATATTAGAACATAAAGGTAGTCAGGCAAAAATGGAAAAAAAATAAAAAATAAAAAAAAGGCTTTTGATAACAACTTATATTAGGTATAATATCACTATATCATAGAAAGACTTTACTTTGCAAAAATCTGTCAAAATTGAACTTGCTAAAAATAAGCAATTTAACGGCGCTGATAATGTACTGTTAAAATGCAAACTTTTGCAAATCTAAGTACTTTATTGGCATTTTATTACTATAATTTACTTTACAAAAATCTTACATTTTTACGATAGCATTGAAATATTCTTGTTCTTGTATAAATTAGTATAAATTATTAAGTTTATAGGTCGCCAAGAGGAATTTTTCATAGTAAATCGCAAATTTAGTTTCTTACTAGCACTATTAACGAGGTTTTTTTGACGAAATACGAAAAATTGGCAGTTTTTCAAAAAAACCTCGTTAAAACCTCGTTAATAGTGCTAGTAAGAAACTAAATTTGCGATTTACTATGAAAAACTCCTTTTGGCGACCTATAATCTTAATAATTTATATTAATTTATATATGATCTAGAATATTTTAATGCTATCGCAAAAATGTAAAGTGATTTTTGTAAAGAACGTACGTTTTAAAGGCCGATTATACCGACACGGCAGGCACGTGACTAAATCAGCATACCCTAATGCTAACCTAACTCTAACGCGGCCATTTTGCTGTGCAAGTAGTCACGTGCTTGCTGTGTAGATATAATTCCCGGTTTTAGTAAATTGCAACTCACGTGAAACGTAAAATATTATAACGATAAGGCTTTAGACGACCTTATTTACGGTGCAGCAGTGGCAATTTTAATCGATAATGGCAGATAACAATATCGTTATAATTCAAATTAAATATGATATTTTTGAAGCATATTCGCTAGAAAATAGTCGAAAACTATTTATCGCACTTTTCAAATTATTGTGTCCACTGATTTTTATACATCATACTGGGAATCAGAAATCTAGAAAAAATGCCAATATGTGATTGGCTAAAAATTATTTTTAACCAATCACAGATTTGCCTTTATTCTAGAT